GGCACTGGGCGGAGCTGAGCTGATGGTGAAATCGAAGCCATTGCTCCAACAGAAGCAATTATTCTGCAGTGTGGGCTGAAGGCGACGTGAGCTCTGCTCTCCTCTCCTCGTGGATTTCATTACTCGCCCTGCATCATCACTTAACTCCACCGTTCATGTTTAAGATTTAATTTTTCTTCGAGGACAGCAAGCTATTTGGCCCAGACAGAATGTCACCTTGAATGGCGTGACAAGAATTCTTAAAAGCAGCTGAGATATTTGGAGAACTTTTCTTCTCTGACTCTCTCTGGCAATTCTGTTCCCCAAAAACTTTCACAATGAGCTGAATTGGATCCCCAGGGAGGCGGCTACCTCTGAGCGGAGAGGCACCCGCCGGGGGAGGGCCTGAATCACATGGGTGCCAATTCACCTCGCCCTCCACGCTTGGTAAAGGTGACATTGATTCTTTGCTCGATTGCGGAGGGCTCTATAACATTCAGACGTCCTGGGGACTCGTGGGTCAGCTGTCCGTTACTGTTGTCGTCTGCTTCTCCCAGCTTGGAGACGCTTGGCTTAGCTGAAGCTGGGTGCTAGAAACAGGGGTCAAAGTCCATTCAGGTGGAGGACCCTTTTTCAAATGAGCCATGTGAATCCATGAACTGATGTCTTTCAGTTCGGCTGTACATAAATTAGTTAGTAATACCTGATAAGTTTCTCTCCATCATGTGTGTAAATAATCTTTTATTTGTGTCCTTTCCAATAAACAAAATCTCTAGGTTGTAATCCATCATCATTTTCATCTCCTGGGAGCTCACTGTAAAAGTAGTCACCATTTTTTTTGAAGTGTCTCAACAAGACCCTGTCAATAACGTAATAGATTTCCTTCGAACCAAAATGGGTGCAAATTTCCATAATATTGTTTTCCTCATAAAATCATTTTCTTAGATGCCCAGTGTGTTAAAGAATGTACCTGCTGGAGTAATGGCAGTTGGGCTTCAACAGACACAAAGTTTTGTTTTATCAGGTCTAAGCCATATTTGTGTGGTTGGATCAAAATTCCCCCTTTTGTTGCCATATCTGTTTCTCTTTTTTAGTGGGGATCTCTTGAGCCCTAGAAATCTTTTATAGGGTTAGCAAGGTTAATGGAGAGCAGTGGACAGTCTCAAGACTGGACAGGATGAATATTTAAGGCTGCCTGTTGGGCCACAGCATTAGCAAGCTGATTTCTTTTAGCTTCCATGGTGTCAGATTTGGAATGCCCTATTGTTTTAATAATTGCTTACTGTTCTGGCAGCTGTATGTCTGTAACCTGTTTTGTTTTGTTTTGTTTTTAAATTTATAAGTTGTGCTGAGGAGGTTAAAAACATCATTGTTTTTATAGCGTTCCAAAGTTGTGTGCCACTTCAAAAGTATAGCGACTGTCAGTATAAATATTTGTTATCCTGGCCTTTAGCTAGTTGACAAGCTAGAGTTAAGGCAATTAATTTGGCCAGTTATGCTGACTTTGTTTCTGATAAATAAAAGTTTTCAATGATGTCCACTGTGGGCGTTACTGTATATCCAGCTCAATCATGTCCTTGTTCATCCTTTAAGTAGGACCCATCTGTAAATTAAGTCCGATCAGCCTTATCAATAGGGGCTTCCTGTAAGTAATTCCTGGAAGCAAGAAAATAATCTGTTAACAAAATGTAGCCGTGGTTGTTTCCTTCCTGTAGTGCTGGAAGCAAAGTTGCAAGGTTAGGGTTGTTACCTGGAACCAAGGGAGTATTCAGTGCAGAAAGCAACAACACTTCATGAGAAGCTAGTCAGCTGAGTGTGGAGAGCTTAGGAGAGACTCAACTGAGTGTGGGACATACACAGTGAAAAGAGACCCTATTATTGATACTATTTCTTCAGTAGCCTTACATAAGACAGCCGTTTCTGAAATAACCCTCATACAAAGTGGAAGTCTTTTGCAGCTGAGTCTTCAGCATAAAAGCAAGTCATTTCCAAGTATTTTTGTAAAAGCATCAGAATAAGACAGTAAGACAATAACTGTCTCTAAATGACAAAAGGCTCAAAAAGCATGCTTAAAGACCTGATTACAATGTGATTGTCAAGGAAATTGAGCCATTTCTGATATAGAACATTTTAAGATAATAACTGCAATCATGACTGACAAAACACCATGGCATTTTAAATTTTAGGAACTTCATGTAATTTCATACATTAATAATATTTACCTATACAGTATATCTTAAGAAGAGTTATTATTACTCATTTGACAATGCTTCCCAGCTGGAATTCTCAGATTTCACTCATTCACTCATAGGACAAACTAGGTTCTGGGGATCCAGGATGACCAAGAACCACTTACTGACTTCAAGAGGCTGGGTTAAGAGGGTCTGAAAAGGGCTACAAGGGGATGTGCTGAGCTGCAGGAGGCAGCCCAGTGATTCTGGAATCAGGCAAGCCTGGGTACAGCCCCAAGCTCTGTGTCCTTGGGCAAGTTACTCAACCTCCGTAAGCCTCAGTTTCCCGATCTGCGACACAGGGATAATTAGATGATCCAAGTCTCTGTCCGTAAGATGCTCTTGGCTGCAAGTAACAGGATAATATACCTAAGTCACGTTTAGAACACAGGACATTTACTCAGCACAAGAAGCCCATGGGCAGGCGATTCCCCGGCAGACTCCACGGTCAGGCTTCAGTGGGTCTGGCTCTGCCGCCATGCTGTAGCCAAGTCCTTCAGTTTGTCTGGAACATTCTGGTTTTAGCACTGGCAGTCCAGGGTCCTGGGAAATGCCTGCTCTGCTTCCTAATGGCAGCAGTGGGAATACGGTGAGGACTGCACTGACAATGGCCAGGACGGGAGTTCAGGGCTGGGGCTGACTCCCTCTTACCAAGGAGGCAAAATCTTCCCCATGGTTCCCCTTGCAGATATTCCCTCACAACTCATTGGTCAGAACTGGGTCACATGACCACTCTAGACCAATCACTAGCCAAGAGGGGCAGGAGTGGCACAAGGGCTCAGCCAATCATAAGGAGCTATGGGTGGGAACAAGGCTACCAGTGTCTGAGCACTTCCAGGCTCCCCATGGGAAGCACTTCCGGGATGGGTGTTAAGAGGAAAGAATGTTCCAGGAGCCCCCGTCCAGCGGGACAGGGGGGTCTGAAGCCCACCGTGATAAACCTGCCCCGAAGCCCTGCCCGTCTGGCTCTCCCCTGACTTTCAAAGGCTGGTGGGATGTGCAGTTGTGGGGGATAGAACCGGGGATGCTGAGGTCCGGGGGGACGGGGGGCGGGGCGCGGGGAATCGAAAAATGAGAGGCAGAGCCCGCGGGAGAACCGGGGTTTCTGCGGGAGGACCTGGGGCCAAGGCAGAGCGAGCAGGAGTCGGGCCCAGGCCAGATGGGCGCCGGCTTTGTGGGAGGCCGTGTGGGTGTGTTGTCTCCAAGCCCAGGGGTGGGCGGGACGCTGAGGCCCCTCTGCGCTTGTTCCTGAGGCGGGTGCTCCCCAACCCGTGTCTGCGTTGGAGCGTGGGATTCATTTGTTTTTCAGCCTTGCCAGTCCGCCCCCCTTGTCACTGCCATACCAAATAGACATTTGCTTCTCCTTCTTGCCAAGTCCCATATGGTCAGCGGGGGCGTCCTCCATGCAGTGACTCAGGGACTCCCCGCTCCGTGCAGCCTCTGAGGGTCCCGTCTCAACGCTCAGCTCCCAGGGTCGGAGTGGAGCTGGGACCTTGTCCTGGCCTGAGCCTCTCAGTGGCCCCTTGTCTGCGTTAGAGCCTGGGTGGCGCGGGCCAGCCCCCTGGCTTGTCTGTGCGAGCTTTGTGCGGTCACCTCCCAGCCTGAGGAATGAGATATAGCATCATCTACCATCTCTGGTCATTGTGAGGACAGGCCCTGGCCCACGGGAAATGCACGAGAAGTGCTGCCTGTTCCTCTGCGCGCTTCAGCGTAAAGTGGCAAAACAAACCAACACCCAAACCCTAAGGAGTTTGTTTTCATGCATTCAGTGCATCCAGCTGGTGTGGTTCTGAAGCAAGTTTGATTTTCAGTGTTTCTGTTGATGTTCAGGACGATCCCACGGTGCTGGGCCTGACCGAAAAGGCCGGCGGGGACCCCGAGGGTACCGTCCTGGGCTCCCTTTCCAGACGGTGGGGGGCCATCCTCGGCCTGTGTGAGAGTGTGCAGGTTGGAGAGGGGAGGGGAGGAGGGAGGCAGTTAGCTGAGGAAAAGCTCCTATTTGCCCAATTTAATGCTAAGGGATTTCTGTGGGGCTTAGTAAATGGCGTTGGCCACTTCCAGGCCCCCTTCTCAGGGTTTCCTAAGGCTGGATTAGGGGCTTATCTGTTCAGGGCCCTGGGTTCTACTCCTGTCCTGGCCAGAGTCTCCTAATGACAAGTGGCCCAGGAGGCTTCAGTCGTCCTCGCAGTGGGACGGCCCTGCATGCTTCCTGGGGGCCTGCTGTTCATCCAGGAAGTGTGCAAGGAAACCATGTAGTGTTTGGGGCAGGGGAGCATGCTGCGTGTGCCCCCCCCCCGGCCCTACATCAGTACAGTGTCACTGGACACTGTGTTCGAGACTATTATTTAGGGAAAACCAGTTATCAAAGGAGGGAGAATATGGTGCACTCAGCTCCCAGGGGCTTGTTAAATGTCAGATGGGAACCGGGGGTCGGAGTTTGCCGACATCTGTAACTGAGCAGAAACCTCAGTCCTTGCTTTGCAGAGCTAAGCTGGGAGGCACATGGGGTCCAGATGAGAGACGTAGCAAGTAGATGGTAAGGGACCCATGTTGGGGGGCAAATGATCCTGCATCTCAGGGGCATTGGTGCAGTGTCTAAGGTTCTAACTCATTCAGTAAGTTACTGAACACCTACTGTATACCAAGTCAATACCGCCTCAGTTCTGCATCACACCTCCATGAGACAAGTACATTATGTGCCAGGTAGGGTATTTGGGGTTATAAATGACAAAAAACTCAACCTAAAGCGTCTTAATCAAAAGTGTATTTTTCCCTGGCACATGTGCTTTGGAAGGTCCTTGGATACACTAGCTTCAGGAGCAGCTTGATCCAGTGTCCAGTTGATGTCACTTGGCAAAATCTCTCAGCTCTCTTCACAAGGTGGGCTCCCTTCTCAGTCACTCTCTCTCCTCATGTGTGAAAGTCACTCCCAGGACCTCATCTTTCAGGGCTGACATCTAGTGAAGAGAAGTGAGAATCTTTGAACCAGCGTCTCTACCTCATCCTGTTGCACCTTTCTGGATCTTACTGGATTGTGTGCTCAGCCCTGATCAATAACCATGGCCTTGAGGAACACAGTGCACTGATTCATTTGGGCCTGAATAACAGGGCTTACTTTTTTTTTTAATTAATTAATTAATTTTATTTTTGGCTGCGTTGGGTATTCGTTGCTGCACGAGGGCTTTCTCTAGTTGCAGCAAGCGGGGGCTACTCTTCATTGCGGTGCACGGGCTTCTCATTGCGGAGCACAGGCTCTAGGCATGAGGGCTCAGTAGTTGTGGCTCACGGGCTCAGTTGCTCCGCAGCATGTGGGATCCTCCCGGACCAGGGCTCGAACCTGTGTCTCCTGCATTGGCAGGCGGATTCTTATCCACTGCACCACCAGGGAAGTCCAATAGGGTTTACCTTTAAGCCCAGGATGGAGTCAACTTCAAATTACATGGGCTGCCAGTGGGGAAGGAGATGGTCACCTGGAGGGAAGTTGAGGAGACTTTTACAGGAGAAGAATGAAGGGCTGCTGAGAGGCGAAACAGCAGATGTCCACTGAAGTGGAGTAAAATACGCCACCTCAAAGTATGCCACTTGGTCATAAGGATCATTTTGAGCTGAAGGCAGTCTTTTTCTGTTTGGTTGGTGTTTTTCGTTCGGTTGGTTTTTTGTTTTGTTTCTATTTGGGTTTGTTTGGTTTTTTTTGGGGGGGGGGTGTTTTTTGTTTTGTTGTTTTTTATCCTGAAGGCAAACTTGAAGAAACAGACACCAAAAAAGCTTTCTGGACTCCACCTGTTTCCTAAAAGCAGGGCATACACTTATAAAGTTGTCTTCCGCTCCCCTTTCTAACTAGGAGGAACCAGAGACAAACCTAGACCCTTATCACCTAGCGACATCCGGGGAGGAATCTACATAACAAAACTCACTGACTATTCTTCCCCTTCCATCAGTCCCCCCACGGGCCTGCCTTCCACAGTTTGCCACCCTAGAAACTCAAAGTCCTGTCACTTCTCCGAAAGTTCATCATTCCTTCAGTTAAGAGGCTAGGTACTAACCCAGGTACTAACGGCTCTTTTGGGTTACTCATCGCCGAGTACTCTGACGCACATGTTAATAAACTTCTGTTGGTTTTTCTTCTGTTAATCTGTCTACTCATTCTAATGTCCAGGGCTCCAGCCAAGGAAGCTAAGATGTGTAGAGGAAAACAACTTATTTCTTCCTCTTATCCACCATGCTACTGTTTATCACACCATTTTATAATTAGGGAAACTAAAGTTCAGGCAATGTAAGTGATCTCCCCAAGGTTACACAGCGATTAAGTGGGATTGCTGCGAGTCTATGCCCAGTCGTTTTGACTCTTTGTTATATGACAGCTTCCTGGGCCTCAACTAGGTTGTTATTTGTGGTCCAAGATTACACTGCAGCTATCTTGGTAGTCCCTATAGGTGGCAGAATAAAGTCTTAAATAGAGTAGTGTTCAGTAACAGAATTGAAAAATTCTTCCAGGGGCTTCCCTGGTGGCGCAGTGGTTGAGAGTCCGCCTGCCGATGCAGGGGACGTGGGTTCGTGCCCCGGTCTGGGAAGATCCCACATGCTGCGGAGCGGCTGGGCCCGTGAGCCATGGCTGCTGGGCCTGCACGTCCGGAGCCTGTGCTCCGCAACGGGAGAGGCCACAGCAGTGAGAGGCCCGCATACCGCAAAGAAAAAAAAAAAATTCTTCCAAAAAAGATCACTGTCTCAATAATTTGAGGTTTAATATTAAATTTCAAACCCATCTTCTAGCTGAATGCCTTCCTTTGCCATTTTGTAATAATGTCCCTTTTATTTCCAAGGATCGCTGAAGCAGTGAATTTCAAAGACTCCGTGAGGCCTGCAACCAGTTACCATATTTCCCTGGAGGAATCACTACCCCTGGCTCTCCCAGGGAGTGTTAGGCGCTTCTCTTCACGTCATCCGTCTCATGCACAAACAGGTGAGGTGCTCTTCTTTGATTTGGTTTAGCATTTAGGACGGTTGTTTGTCCACATGCTCATAGAAAGAGTCTTCAGTAGTGTGGTGGCCTGACTTGGCCTTCTGCTGCCCCAAGAGCCCCTTCCTTTTCTTGATCTGTAGCAGAAAAGCTCCTCCGGTGGCAATGAGGGTTGATCTCAGGGTATTAACGGGTAAAAGGCATCTGAGGCCAAACTGAAGATTTCACACTGTGCTATAGCAACTAGGAATGTTTCTATGAATAGAAATAATGTGTTTTAGCGGGAGGGAGATGTGATTTGTGGGGAGTGGGGATAAATTGGCCAGTTCTCAGTGGTCTTGTGTAACAGCCAATGGCAAGTGAAGGAATGCCTTCTGCCTGAGAGAAACACACTTGAGAGCTTAGAACACACCATTAAGTTTGCCCTGATGCATCTTAACTTTACTTTTTTTCTACATTGAATTTATTTTTCAGTGGATGAAAGTACCCAAGTTACTGCTAATGTGTATGTGAACCGTCCACTCACTTATTTTTTTTTTTTTAAGCAGAGGTCTTCTTAAAAGCCCACATGATTTAAATTTATTTATTTATTTATTTTGGCTGCGTTGGCTCTTCGTTTCTGTGCGAGGGCTCTCTCTAGTTGCGGCGAGCAGGGGCCACTCTTCATCGCGGTGCGCGGGCCTCTCACTATCGCAGCCTCTCTTGCTGCGGAGCACAGGCTCCAGACGCACAGGCTCAGTAGTTGTGGCTCACGGGCCTAGTTGCTCCGCGGCATGTGGGATCTTCCCGGACCAGGGCTCGAACCCGTGTCCCCTGCATTAGCAGGCGGACTCTCAACCACTGGGCCACCAGGGAAGCCCGAGAAGAGACCTTTTTTAACAGCAGAAAATTTCTTCTCTCTTTCCTCATTAAAGTAGGAGGTTCCAGACATCAGCTTCAGAAACGTACTCCAACCCACCAGCCTCAGTAGCATATTGACACAAGGGGCTAGGCAACCAACACTGGCGCGTTACATTTGGATAATTAGCCACGAGTCTGGTCTTTCCACCGAGGGTGACATGCGAACTTGCAGTTTCATCAGACAGAGAAGATAAAGGCGAGTCTTTTCTTCATGTCTCCTCATTTCAGACCATCCAACTCAGCGGCAAGCAGCGCGCCCAAGTCTGCAAATCAAAATCCATTTGAATTTGTTTAAGAGGAGTGGAGCACATTCACTGATTCAGGTATGTTCCTTCTGGGCTGTTTCGTCACCATCTTTGGAAAAACACATGAGGTGGGGCCCGCGGATAGACCGTGACTTGTCCTGCAGGGATTTGAGACGCCGTGATTGGCATTGTGCCCTCACGGGAGAGATCTGCTCCTAAGGCACTTACCTGACAGGTCTTGGTTCATCGGTGATTCACAGTGATTTTGCCCTCCAGGATTTCAGGGAGGGGCCTTAGTGTCATGAGGACACATTTCCTGTGTCTGGAGGATGATGCATTCTCATGGGAAAGCGTGAGTTGGGGCAGAGTGCTTCCTCGTCCTGGCAGGTTCCCCATGGTCCAGAGGCAGAAGCGCTGTGGCGTTGGTGAAAGTCTTCAGGACCTGCTGGTGCATGTGGGTGAAGCGTCTGCTCATTGTTAATGAGGCTTCTTGATCTGTCAAGACATTTAACATTTAATACGTGTCATTAATGATTTAGAGAAGCAGCGTTCCGTGCTCTTGGGAGAAGCACGTGCCAGTGTGGGACGTGAGCATCTAGAGGGACGGGGAGGGCCCTGCCTCCCTCGGCTCACACGGGAGCGGGGTGCAACCCCTCCTCGTTACCACAGGCCCCGTGACAGGCGCTACACAATGGGGCCCCACTGCAGACGTGCTTTTCTGTTGAAAGTCAGTGAAAAAAGCAGGATTCTCAGCTTTCCTTAAAAAAAGGTAATAGAGTTTTTGAGCAAAACCATCTTCCATGTCCCTGACAAGAGCTGCCTACAGTGGCTCCGAATATGACCTACAGCCCTTGAGGAGGGACTAAAGGGCCTTGACTCTGTTTAGTGGCCGCACTGTTAATACTTGGTGTTGGTTGACTGTTTTCCTTTGCTTCTGCATTTTCTCACTTCTCTGATTAAGCTTATTCTCTGGCTGAAGTTCTTCCACAGACAGAAGGCAGGCGGAGGACAGGCCCGTCTCGCCTCCCGCACCCTTTACTCGTCACAGCGCGCTGCTGCCCGCTTGCCTCCCACCTTACCGGCCCTTCCTTCTCAGTCTCCTTCTCAGGCTCAACCTCCCCACTGCAAGTTAAGCGTTCCACAGAGCTGCATCCTGGGTCTCTTCTCTCCTCACTGTATTTCTTTCTGTAGTTAACCTTATCATTCCCCAGGCCTTCGAAACTGCCCGTACGTTGATGGATCCCAAAGTTATGTCTCTAGAATACTCCTACCTCTTAGCTGTAGATTCATGGGTCCAGTTGTTTCCTTGATGTCTGCATCTGGATGTCTCGTGGGCAGTGCAGCGTCCACAGGCCAAAGTAATCTCCGGTCCCTCACTTCAGACCTCGCTCGGCGTTTCCACTTTGCTAAACTGAACCACAATCCATTGACCTGGACGAATCAAGAGAACCCATTCCTTGTATTCCCTTTCCCTTACTCTCCTTGTATCCAGCTCACTGCTAACTGTTGATTTCATGTCCAAAATTCCCTGAAATCCACCCAGTTTCCTCGTCTCCACGGCCTCCACCCCCAAGTGCACCCAGTGCCATTTCTTGCCTGGTGCCCGCGCAGCCTCCTAGCTGGACCCCTGCCCTCTGCACTCCCTGTGGCAGATCGAGTGCTTTTTTGAAGAAACAAGTCTGGTCGTCTGCCTCCCCTGCTGTGGGTCCTCCCCAGCTCCTGTCACACTCGGGGTGAAGGCAAACCCGCCCCCGTGGCCCAGGGCCCGGCACTGTCCCCTCAGCTTCCTCCTGTACCACTCTCCTCTTCTATCTCGCCTCAGCCGCTGGGCCTTTGCACACGCTGTCCACCCAGCCCAAAGCCCTCTCCTCCCTTTCTGGTCACTGCTGGTCACCCCGTGCCTCAGCTCTGTTGTCATACCCTCCTGTGCCAGGTGGCACCACTGTGCTGTCCCCCATTCCTTGTTGGCACTTACACGCCTCCTGTGGTCACTCGCTTCCTGTTGCTCTTTTCTGCTAGACTGTCAGCTCATGGTTTTGGTTCATCATGGAATGCACAGCACACGGCATACAATAGGAACTCAACGAATATCTACAGTATAAAATGAACTACAGATAATAGTCCTTAGTAAATAGAAATCAGAGGTTAGAAAAGGCTGATGACACAGTGCGGCTGCGGTGGCTGCAGGACCCAAGTCCCGGTGTGAGACGCCAGAGCCCAGGGTGCTGCTCTGTGTCTCCTCTGAGGGCGAGGCCGGGCTTCATCTGCATCTGCCCTGTGTTTGTGTTCACGCCCCCGGCAGGAACTGCAGTGCGCTGCTGAGCTGGTAATTTAATGAGCACAGACGTCCGTCCGTCAGACAGCCTGGCTCAGCTACTGTTTTAAGAGATTTGAAGATAAATCTACTGCGAAGGTCAGTCACTTAAATCGCCTGTTATTGTCTATTAAGAAAAATGTGTATAACAAGATTAACATGTAGTTGGCCCTCCATGTCTGTGAGTTCTGCATCCATGGATTCAACCCACCTCAGATCGAAAATATTGGGGAAAAAATTCCAGAAAGTTCCCAAAGGCAAAACCTGAATTTGCTGCAAGGCAACTATTTACGTAGCATTTAAAATGTATCTACAATTGTTTACACGGCTTGTACCTCATTTTAGGTTTTATGAGTGATCTGGAGATGATTTAAAGCATGGAAGGAGGGGCATAGTTTGTATGCAAATGCTATGCCAGTGTCTATAAAGGACCTGAGCACCTGTGGATTTTGGTGTCCTTGGGGGGTCCTGGAACCAATCCCTGTGGATACTGAGGGACCACTGCAATTCACAATAAAACATGGAAAAAGATATTTATTTTTCGAGACACTGAACCATTTAGTTGTTACAAGTATACATAAATTTTATGAAGCAGTAATTATAATGTAGACAAGCTTTTTATTCTCACAGTTAATTATAATTGTGAAAGGCAGGATTATCGTATAGAGAGTCACCAGATCACATCCCCCGCAGATTAAGTTGTATCATTAAAGTGTACCCACCGCCTCCTTATTTGTCTGATTTTTTTTTTAATACTTGTGCTTTAAAAACACGGAAGTCAGAGATATGGGAACATATGTATATGTATAACTGATTCACTTTGTTATAAAGCAGAAAATAACACACCATTGTAAAGCAATTATACCCCAATAAAGATGTTAAAAACAAACAAACAAACACGGAAGTCAGTGTGGCGAGTGTGATCTGGGCTTGTGCCCGTCTCACCTGCATCAGGTTCTCAGAGCTGTGGGTGCATTCTCACAGCTGAGGGTCTCCTTAACTCCATCAGTTGGCGGTTTGACTCCTTTCTTCCGTGATTTTTATTCCACCTGTTGAAACGTGTGGACAAGTCACCACGCCCTTGCCGATGGATTCAAATGGCCCAGCAGCCTGGGAACCCTGCCCCGCCCTCTCCACGGAGGCCCCCATGTCACAGCCGCTGGCTCAGGGGCTGGAGGAGAACAGACTGGGGCTGCGGCCGCAGAAGGGTCTGAGACTCTGCACAGACTTCAGCCCCCGCAGGGCCGGGGTCCTGAGCCGTCCTGGGGGCTCCTGCCCGGCCTCCAGCCGCTCCACCGACGGCCGTGGTCACCCCTCATTCATGTCTCTGAGCCGTCTCGTCTGCGCCTGGACTCAGCGCACCTTCCGTTGGGGCAGGAGCGCTGCTCTCCCTGCGGGCGGAGTGACCGCCCCTGTTCATGGCCATCGAGGACCCACAGGAGCTTCCAGGGCTTTCCTGGGGGTGATGGCTTTGAAGATCCCAGCGGTGACACACTCCCTTCCTAAGGAAACGGGTGAGGGAGCTGGGGTCTCCCCTCCCCTTCTCTTTCATCTGCATCCGTAAGGACTTTTTGAAGCAAACCTGACCCAACCTGCAATATCCACAGAGGAATGCACAGGCCCCTGTGACCTGCTAGGGGCAGGTTGGATCAGGGCTGACATGCCGCAGTCAGAATCTCGGCTCAGCTCTGTGTCACCGCGCTGGCTCTGCGCTCAGACAGCGTGGCCTCCAGCAGTCACCAGGCCAAGGCCTACCCCGTTCACACCAAGCAGGAGACACAGGGCCTGTCCCAGCCTTCCCAGGTCTCACTGCCACTTATCTGCCCTGATGGTGTCGCTGCTGGCCTGGCCGTCACCGTGGTAGGGGCCAGCTGCATGCTGGCTGAGACCCCCATGACGGGGCGGTGCGTCTCCAGGAAAATCAGGGCCCAGTGAACCAGGAAGCAGGTCAGCGGGTGCTAAGCGGCCACGAGATTTTCCTGCGACCAAGGCCAGGGAGGTGGGCTCAGTTATTTTATTTGTGAGCTTCTCCAATAGAGTGGCTTGCAGGGTACAACGTGGAACAAGGGAGAGGACAGAAATGTGAGCTGGTACATACTGGTGAGGGTCACAGCGGTTCAAGTGCCACGACCTTCCCAGGCAGCCTGGGATACAGAGGTTGGGCTCCCAAAACCCCCTCTTTCCACTCTGAGTGGGACTGATCATCTTTGAGGAAAACGGTGAGAAGTGTTAGAGCACAAACGTGCTTGTTATCATTCTCAGCCCTCGGGCCAGGTGTGAGGCAGATCAGCATTTCACAGCATCTTAAACTCCGCTGCCTCCTGGCAGAAACAAAACCGTACAGAAATGAAAGCGTCATCTCCCTGGGGGGTGCGATGTGATCCCCTCGGGGGCCGCACCTCCGGCTGAGAAACATTGTCTGCAAATCTTCCATCCAAGGAGGTGTGTTTGGAGGTCTGCATTGTAGTGTGTGTTATTGAAAACAATATTTTTCCCAGTTGAAGACCAGTTGAGAGAGAGACAGGGAGAGATTACCTGTATTGATTATAAACTCCTTTGGTTGGACATACGCTGTAAAGCAGTTAAGTCACTTGGAAAGGAGGTTTTTTCTAATTATGGAAAATCTGTGTCTCCTGAGAAGGACCGCTGGACACAAGACCCAACGAGAACTGCCAGGGCCAGGGGCGTGGCTCACCCTTCAGTGTCATAAAGGACACCATCCTAAAGCCAGCTGCTCAGAGCCCAGCCTCCCTGGAGTCCCGGCTTTTCTCCAACAAGTCAGGAGTGAGAGAGCGAGGTGGAGGTGTGAAAAGGTCGAGCTCAGCTCCTTTTTTCTCATGTGAAGAATGAATAACATGTTGACATGCGGCCTGCAGAAGGCCTTGGAGAAATTCAACCCACGGCGTCTGGGATGAGTGATTTATTCCACGGGCAAGAGGCACCTGGAGGAACAATCGAGAAGGAGGTCCAGAGTCAACAGTTCTGGGACACTTTTGATGCGGGTGGAGAGTAGAATCTACCCCTGGACCTCGGAGGCCCTGGATGGGCCCTGGGTGAAATGACTGTGTCCTGGGTCCCCGCTCAGACCGCAGCCTGGTGTCTGTTCCACAGTAAAACCAGAGCACGTGCCTCGGAAGCCAACAGGGGAGGGGATGCTGCTGCCAGCCTGGGGGACAGAAGGCTGAACCTGAGGTTTGAGGGGTGTCGCCACGAGTCCGGGTGGGAGCCAGCGTGGCTGGATGTGAACGCAGGAGGGAGAACGCCCGAGTGAGACAGGGTCCCCGCAGCTGTCAGGGGAGCTGGATAAAACCAGGAGAGGCCAACCCGTGACACCCGAACGTGAGTGGTTCTGAAGTTGAGGAAACTTGCCCTGAGCTGGCCGTGCTCTCCCCTGCTGAGCCCGCCCCTCACCGGCTGCGGCATGCGCATGGAGCTCCTCTCTTGGCCCTGGGAATGGACTGGATGCCTCGGAGCTGCCTCATGGATCAAAGGAATCATGGGCGGTGTCTTAGTCCCCTGGGCCGCTGTAACAAAGTCCCACAGACTGCTTGTCTACAACCAGCAGACATTTATTTCTCAGGGTCCTGGAGGCTGAAGCCTGGCTAGGTTCCAGGGAAGACTGTCTTCTGGGCTGCAGGCTGCTGACTGCTGGCTGGACCCTCACATGGCAGAAGAGGCGAGGGAGCTCTCTGGGGCCTCTTTAATGAGGGCACTAACCCCACCCATGAGGGCTCCACCCCATGACCTAATCACCTCCTGAAGGCACAGAGACACGCTTGGTGGAGGGGGTGGGGCTTGTCTGGGCCCCAGCTCCAGCCTACTGGGCGCTTCCACTCTGGTCACCCAAGTAGAGACCGTGGTGCAGTTTGGGGCTGTGATTTGACCTCTGAACCCAGTAGTACTCTCCAACTCCCCCTCCCGCCTCTGCTCAGGTGCACAGGCATCTCCTGGGACACGGGCTTCTCGCAGCCAGGAGCTCCAGAATGGCTCCTGGGAGAATGCCCCTTGGAGGGAAACTCTGCCAGACCCTTCTGGGCACCCAGGGCACACACTCAGCTTCTGGCCAGAGTCCTCCATGAACAGGGTGATGGGGCCCCCTCCCTGCCAGGCCAGGGCGATGGTGAGTCAGGGTGTGTGCCGTGTTCAGAGCCGCCCTTGCAGGCTCTGCTGGCCCACGGTGCTCTCCACAAGCATTCCTTCCCTGGGTGCAGGTCTCTGGAGAAAGCATCTTGTTAGCGTCCTGATTAGGAAATGACCTAATACATAGCTTTAAGTTCTGTCAGAGCCTGACATTCTCTTTCCCTTTTAATGATCCCTGGTAATCATTAGGAGGGTGAAAAGTATGTGTTTTCTCTTCTTGTTAAGGATCGTGCTCAGCTGCAAGAAACGGAAGAGACAACCGAGAGCCTGACCTGACGGGGATTTACTTTCCTCCTCGTCAGACATCCGAGGAAGGTGGTTCAGGGCCGGTGTGACAGTTCTCGATGCCCTCAGGACCTGCTGTGGTGTGTGGTTTGGGCACCACTGTGCTGTCTTGTGGTTACAAGAGGGCTGCCCTACCTCCCACATCACAGCTGCATTCCTGGCGAGAAGAACAGGGAGGGTAGATGACAGAAGGGATCAGCCACCTGAGTCCACCCCTTAAAGGAATCCTCTTCCCCTGTCTGCATTTCGTTGGTCAGAGTTCTGTCACATGACCAGCATGTGTCCAGGGGGTTCTGGGAAATGTAGTTCCATAGTTGGGCACATTGCAACTCTGATCTCCAATGGTGTCCTGTCCCTTAGAATGAAGGGCCCATGCACACAGCTCAGGCATCATCTGGGCCTGCCAGAGCCCTCAAGGAGGTGGGTCTGGCTCTGTGGGGCCTCCCTGGGCCCCTCCCAAGATCTGGCTTCTGAGCAGTGGCAGCCAGACAAGAGGTGAGGGACCCTCCTGATGCAGACCAGAGTGAGCCTCCCCATCCTTTTCCAGTCCTTGTTGCCGTGCCAGCAATCTGTCTAGAGGGAGATTGGGGAAAGCCTCCCAAATCCTTAATCCTGGGGGCACATCCCTGAAGTCAACGTATCAGGTGCACTGGAGGCTGGTTCCAGAATCCCACGGAAACTGAGCCACGGACGAGCAGAGGGAGGTGTTGCTGCTGAGGGACCAAGTGAGCTTGGACACATTAGCAGTTCACTGTGTTCCAGAAAACTGTGTTTGTTTGTCGGGACGTCCCTGGTGGTGCAGTGGTTAGGAATCCGCCTGCCAGTGCAGGGGACACGGGTTCGAGCCCTGGTCCAGGAAGATCCCACATGCCGCGGAGTAACTAAGCCCGTGCACCACAACTACTGAGCCTGCACTCTAGAGCCTGTGAGCCACAACTACTGAAGCCCATGCACCTAGAGCCTGTGCTCCACAACAAGAGAAGCCACTGCAATGAGAAGCCTGTGCACCACAAAGAAGAGTAGCCCCC